AGTGTTCAGACATTGGCAGAGAGTCAGCCTTAAAATACTGTGCTCTAAAAATATTTTCAAAATATTTAACTGCTTCTAGCTGCAACTCTTTTCTCCAGTTTGTTTTGGAGAATGTTTCCACTTTATGTCGGGGGTCTAAAATTAAGACAACACAGTACATCCAGTTGGTTCTCTTATTATGTTTAATGATTTTGTCCCTTGCTGCTTGAACGCTATTTATGATCTTTTCATCGGTTTTGTCTCGATCAGGTTTATTGTCATGTTCCATAGCCCACGATTCTAGTCTATCCAACATCATATTGATGCCAATTATTACCATAGGCAGAGTAACATATGATTCACCTTCTAAAATTAAGGAAATGCTTTTAAAAACATTAAGATACTGGCAAATTCGATCAATTAACGACCATTCTGTGTCGGTTGGCTTCAAAGTTTTTAGATTTTCTACATTATCACAGAGGATATTAAGTGATTTTCGCATATTTAGACTCCATCTCAACATGTCGAACGTGGAATTCCACCTTGTTATGACATCAAGTTTTGGCATAGTAAATTTTAGGTTTAAGGTGGTGCAAAAGTTTTCAAAATCCTTACGTAAGTGTTCAGAGTTTTTTAATTTTTTAGCAAGGGAATGAATTTTTCTTACAGAGGAGGGCGAAAATTGGCTGTCAATTCTGTCATCGTCATCATCCTCTGATATATCTGTCAAAGTGTTGGCCTCCTCTTCAAGCTCAGAATCAAGGATTTTCATAAAATCTCTGGCTCCCAAGTTTAAGATGTGTGCAAAACATACAAAGTGGATATTTTTTGTATCGATGTCATAAAGAAATGTTTTTAGTTCGCTGATGAACGTGAAATTACTATTTGTATTGTCGGTAGTAATACCTTGTATGCATTTTGTAACATCGTAAAATTGTAATACTTCGAAAAATAGTTTTGCTATAGCGTTACCAGTATGTTGCCCATATGCTGGCACAAAATCTAACAGGATACAATGAAGTTTCCAATTTTTATCGATAATGTGGGCGGTAATACCATAGTATCCTTTCATATTAAATGAAGTCCATCCATCGATTGTAAACGAGATTTTTGAATTGCATGTCCTCAAAAATGTCTTAATTGTTTGCTGCGCTGATTCAAATGTTTTTAATGTCAAAGATTTCATTTGATTACGACCAGGTAGAGTTAATGCCTTTGGATTTAAGTATTTGTACATTTTTTCACTTATAGCATCTTCAAAAAAGTTGAAAGGTAGATACTTCTGTGCTATATACTCCACTAGTAGTTTTTGAAATTTATCTTGTTGGAAATTGTCTGATCTCCTAATGGTATGCTAAATAAACAAATCTGGAGTTAGTAAAATGCTGTAATAGTAGTAAATGTAGTAAAGTTACAATAAAGCTCACGTATAATTTGTATAATGTCTCACTTATGGAGGGTAGAGGTAAGGAGAACCATCTCTTATGGATGGGAGAAAAACTGAAAAAAATGGCCGTCAAAAAGTGGCAAATAACAGTTCAAAATGTGACCACAGTGGCGCTAGCTTAGCAATAGTTTAATGTGAACTATGAAGATGTGAACTTAGCAGTTGTAGACATAGTGAAGTATGCAGAATGAAAATATAACCTACAGAATTATCAGAATGTCAGAGTGACAAGTTGAGTTATTTTATAAAATTTAATTGTATTCGCCTTTAAAAAAGTCAAAACGCTCTCTGGTGGCTGAATTCTGAACCTACTTAATAAGTAATCTCGTAAGTAATAAACTGATCGTACTAGTTCAAAACACTATAAATAAGGCAAAACACTTTTAATATAACACCCAACCAACAGTTCTTGTCGAAGCTCGCCAACAAAACAACAAGGTACACACACTAAATGACAGAAGTAAACATTACTTCTGTCATTTAGTGTGCCTCCATCTTTGTAAACGGTCGTTGAAATCGGGAATAAAGTTTTGCAACAATTTTTGTGATGAGAAAATATAATTACACGGTCCACGTTTAACAGAATTAGAACCCAACACGGCAGATTCTCACACTCCTTATACAAATGGGGGTAGCAACCATATCCTTTGTGATTGTGGAGAAATTCAACAAAAGTATTTTTGTTTCCCTGTTACCTACTTGAATAAAAACTGATACCATTCCTACAATGGCGCCATCTTAATTTGCCTCTATTTCACGAACACTTTTTAATACAGAGACAGTTCTCCTTACCTCAGCCCTCCATAGTGCCGCTCTTAAATGGCAAGGTAAGTTATATTATTGAAATGCCCTGTAAAAAAGTATATGGCACGTGCTACACCACAATTTTTACTAGATTGCTTAAAGCCTATAGATTTTTATAGATGTACTAAAAATTTGATAAAAAAAGTTTCAAATAAAAAAGAAACATTAAAAAGAAAAAGAAGATGTGGACATATTTTTGGCAAACCGTATAGATTATATTTTAATTGTGACACAAACGACAAACGACTACATAATTCTAGTTAAAATCTAATTAATGTTTTACTTTACCTTCTCAAGCCAATCCGAAACTGAAAGTGTGCTAGTACTGCTAGTCGAACCTGTAGAGGTATTGGCCTCGAGATTAGTTGGGCTAGATCTACCAAAATGTTCTTTGTAGACTCTACGGTGTCTAGCTTGCAAATGCCGCCTTAGTGAAGATGTTCCGCAGTTTTTCATTTGCAAAACTGTGTTTGTTGCCGTACATAGGGTACATTTGCCTAGTTTGTCAGTATTTTTATTACTCTTAGGATTTTGCTCGACTATGAAATAGTCCGTAATTTTTTTTTTGTTTTATTAGATATAGATAGACTTTTATTAACTTTAACTCGTTTCGCCTTTGATGGCGCCGACCCTGCACTTTCTACTTCTGTTTTGGTGTTATCACTGTCATCAAATTAAGCCCGGAGCTCCGCCATGCTGGGAGCCATTCTGTCTCCGGCTTCTATAATATAAAAATGTAGCTTCTCCAATTTAAATTTTAAAGTGTTTGTTTGTCTTTAGTGTATGTATTTGTTATGTCCCAGTTTACATGTATGACATTCGGTTATTGCTGGATAGGCCACAATTGACGAAATGCCCCTGAGGATGATCTTGTGATCGAAAGTACTTGGGCAAGATTTAATTAAATACTGTGTTCGATATTTGCCTTGTGTACCATCAAAATACAAAATAAAATGTCTGATGAAATTCCATTCCACTTGATATAAATTTTCCCATGCCGATATTGCTAAGCCTTAGAAGAAATAAAGGAAGATATCTAACGGTACTTTTAGGGGTAGGAGCCCTGCGCTACCTGCCTACATAATTTGGATATTATCAAACAGTTCAGAAAAAGCTATTACCACAGTCGGTCGCAAAAACTCGTAAGCTAACATCGATCGCTAGCTCGCAAATTCGCTTATTAATATATCATATATATTTGTAACTAAGTAGTTCGCCTCGCATTATTATTCATAAAGATAATCAAGTCAATTATTTATAGTAACCAGTGTTTCCTAAAACCGCAATTATAGTTTTCATTATAAAAAGTTCATCTATTCAAACCAGCAGTGTTGCCAGTAGTTCGCTTTAAACCTAGAAACGACATTCCGCTAAGCAATTGTACGTGTAATTTTATATAATAGTGAAAACAGCGTTAGTGAAAAGTGTATTGAAGTATCGCATATCAGTGTTTTCGGACAGATTTCAGAAATTGGCATTTAATCTAAGCGTTAAATATAAGTTAGTGTTTAATTCTGTTTTTCAGCCCCAGGCTGGTGGTCCTTCGTCCTTCTATTCTTTAAATAAGTTAATATTCAACCAATGTCCCTAACATCTGCGCAATCTACTTCTAATTCAGTTACGAGTACTAAATTTAATCCAAATTTTCGCCAAAACTCGAACAATTACTCAGTTCCTAACAAAAAGAGGAAAGCCAATTCTTCTCCTGTTGTATCTTCTAACTCTGATCAGCCAACTCCCATGTTTAACTTCAGATTTGGATCATCTCAACCTCTACCTGCTAATCACAGTGGAGAAAGGGAGAGAGATATTGCTCGAGCTATGACTAACTTTTTAATTAGATTTTACAAAAATATATGTACATTGGACGATTTGAAATCTTTAAATAATGAAACAATAAATCTATTTAATATGAGACAATCTTTTATGGAATGTATTGACAAATGAATTAAAGAAAATGGTGGACATATCGAACACTTATTTTGACAAAAAGTTTAATGTTATTTAGTTTAACTATTTCTTAATTTGGTTTGTAAATAAAATGCTTCAGTTATGAGTTTAATTTAATATAAAACGTAAAATGCTATCTAAGATCCAACCATTCTTTTATTTTGTCAAATTCTATTGCAAATTGTGATATCCTATCCTGCTGATATATTTATTTTATTTAATATTTCGTTAACTATTAACTTTATTAAAGGCATTTTATACCAACATTCAGAAGTATTGATGTTTTTGTCTAATTTTATTTCCTTGCCTGGAGTAATTGCGTTAAATCTGAACTATGTAGTTGATTTGTAAAATGCGATTATCTCGAAAACTGTTAGAGTTTTGCAGTTAATATCAAGTATACCTTTTTTTGTGAAAATAATGTATCTTTAATCTTTTTTTATTACAAATACCGGCAACTTAAAGAGCAAAAAAGTTAAGTATGCCACATATGTGGCAACATATGTGGCATACTTAACAGCAAAGCAAATGTATGCCACATATGTGGCATATGTGGCGCCCTCTATCAGCTAGATTAAAGTTTGCATCAAATTATAACTCCTGATGTTCAATAGTACCCAGTTAAGAATTTTTATACATAAATGTTCAGAAACATGAAAGGTATAGCGAAAATTAAAATTTTTAATTTCCACTTTAACTCCCTGTATCTTTTTAATATCAACATTTTATTAAAGCAATATATTGTATTTGATGACTTAATCTCAAATATTGATAAAATACATAAAACTTTAAAAAATAATAAAAAAAAATTCGCTTTTAGGTGGATCAGTAAAATTTTTCAATGAAGACAAGTGGATAAAAGCAGATGACGACAACAATTATTCACTTCCTAGACATTATGAAGAAGAAAAAATTCTTCAAGCCATTGACTGCACAGACATGGACTTATATTACGAAGGTTTAGTTAATATAAGAGATTTAGCAAAAGTGGAATGGTTAAGCTTTAATGGTTGCCCCCATATAGATGATTGGTGTTTAGACAGAATAAGTAACATCTTCAGTCATAGTTTAATATATTTAGATTTACGAAATTGTCCAAACATTACAGCTAAGGGATTATCGGCATTATACAAATTAGAACACTTAAAAATATTATATTTAGATGATTTTCTTAGATCAACTCAGTATGAGTTGGCATGTTTATTGTTACAAGAAGTTAATCCAGATTTAGATGTAAGAAGTGATCAAATTACATTTGATATTTCGAAATAGATAACTAATTTATTGTATTTATATTTATTTTTAAAAATAATGAAAAATTTCAAGCGTGAAAATGCGGTGTGATAGCCTGCCAAAACACTTAATTTTAGAAGATAAAATCGAGAGCTAGTATATATGTAATAGATATACAATATTAATATAACAATCACCAAATAAGATATAAAACAGAATTATAGCAGATAAAAAAATAAATTAGAATTACAATAATAATATGTATGAATAATTATTGTTTTAAAAACATAACGTTATCAATTGTTGGCTCGAACTATTCAACAATTTATTAATCAATATGTATAATAATTGTTTATGTCACTAACATTCTGTTTCTAATTTTGGTCTAGTCTAGAGATTGTAGCAGGTCGTCGTCAATAATATTTTAAATTAGTATTAGATTAAGTACTCATGCGTACTTTTAGTATGTCCACTTCTAAGAAAGTGGCATACGCGGCAGAAATAAGACCTGACACAGAGAGGGCAAAAAGGATGTTAGAAACAGCACAACGTTGTTATTGTTGTTGTTATACGACGTAAATGTAAGGTGGAGAACATCAAGAACTGGATAAGAAATAGAAGAGTAGAATGGAACCATCGTATAAGCCGAATGCCAACAAATAGAGTAGTAAAGACGGCAAGAGATGGTTCCTCAATAGGAAGATGGACAGATTCGAACGTAATTATAAGGATCGAATCGTTTTATAATGCCCCTTTGTCCGCTTTTTCTCGATCGACGATGATAAATACAATAAAACGTTGAAATTGTGGAGTAAAAATGTTGGTTTTATTGACAGCTACTAATAATTACACTATAGGTGTTGGTTAGGCAATTATCTATAACAGACTGTACTCAAATGAGCTCAAATCCCCAATTTATAATCTCACAAATAATGTATACATCAGCACAGAGGTTAATGCGTCTATCATACTAACAAACTTTGAACTATGAGCTTACAATACAATTTAATCTAGGCCGTAATTGCAACACTTAGGAAGTTCAATTAGAATAAATATATTATTCGACAATGGTGAACAGGTGAATGGAATTTGATTATTAAAATATTACTCGATATAGTTTTACAATGTTCAATTATACACTATAAAGATTAAGACGTTAAGAATAATGTGAGATTACAACTTAAGGGATTAATTTGTGATTAAACAAAGACGATCAGTAGGAAGACCACAAAAACGATGGAACGACAACGTACTGGAGGCACTCACTTGAACTTTTCAAGAACCAACACATCACAGGAAACAATTTATCCAAAAAGCAAATTGAATATCAAGAAGACCAAGTGGTCCCTGTATACATCCTTAATTGAAAACATGTTTTCCAACAACAGCAACTTTCTTAATACGTATGAAAATTATAATTTTCTAATAGATTGCGCTATCGATGCTATTTATAACGTAGCATCGATACGTTATAAGTATATAAGTGTAACGATTTTATTAATGCCTAATTTGTTGTCTTTATTTTATTTAATTTGTATACACTTATTTACTAACACTAAAAAGCTACAACGCATCTATTTAATTTATTATGACTTGCACCATACAATATTTATTTTCAGACTAAAGGTAACAATTGAGTTTCGTGTATTATATACATATTCAGTCGTTCTGGAACTTCATCCAAGCTCGAAGGGGCTCGTCCCGTTAGTAAACATCGGCTTCTGGTAGTAATTTCTCAAATTTTGGTCAGGGCCGGCATCATATTGCCCCCATCTTAAGAAATTCCTCCTGGAACCTTGTCGAGACAGGGACTGGATGCTGTTATCGGCAACTGGTCCCTCTTTTACAACTCCCAGGTGTTTAAAAGTGAACGGTTTTCGTTCCATACCAGTGACCATGCGGATTGTAGCAGTGTAATATAATAAATTTACGAGAGTGATAAGGGATTAAGGACTTCTATGTATAGGGTCCTGTAAAGACTGTCACCAAATGTAAAATACAATAGATCCTCAAGGGATGCTAACCCTGCGAGCGGCTGCAAGGAATACTGGTCACACTGGTCTGGAGGGCTGGCTCGTCTTCGTGGATTTACGAGAAGATAAGGGATTTCGGGATAGGGGTAAGAACTCCTCGGTCTCAGGTCCTGTAAAGAGTAGAGGTTATGGGCTTACTTTTGAAGCCGGAGATATGTATACGCAGAATTCTCGTGTTCTCCTAGTCTCTAGTGAGTCGGACGAAGGAACATTAAAAAAAAAACCATATTAGAGTCAACAATATATTGAATCTACCCTGAAGTTCCTAATACAATCGTTAACACGTTATTCTGCGCGTCGGGAGACGTTGTAGCAAGATAGTGAAAAGTTGACAGAGGTACAAATATAATTACACAGGTTAGTATAAGAAATCTGTTACCTTATGTGTATATTAGGGCTTCAACCACGACACGTTCAGTCTTCTGGAACTCGGTCAGTTGAGGGTTGCGAACTTTCGAGCTGCCACAATAACCGGACTACACGCGAATTCTGACAGAAGATACCCGGCCCCCGGAAAATCACCGACTGTCTCGCGTACTGGACGCTATCGCGTCCGGCGATCACTGCCCTGGGCGGCAGTTACGGCGCCCCCGTTATCACTACTACTGACTACTGCTACTCACTACCCATTACTAACTGCCCGGCGTCCGTCGTTTCTTTCTGTTTTATTGTGGTCGTACTTTCAACGCCGGTTCTAGTACCAAGGTCGTAGGTTCGCTGAGTTGCAGTTTTGGTATTATTGCTGCCTATTTGGGTCACGGATGTTTCGTGCTTTTTATACGTTTAAACAGTTATCAAACAATGCAATAACTAGGTCAATTGTTATACTTTGTATAATTTAAATGTATAAGTTAACTGTATTAATTATCCCTTATTTAATTTGGAATATATGATAATTATCTCGAATAATTATTATCTTTTCTATGCTACTTATTGTTCCATTATCCCTTTATTCCAACTTCTCACTCACTTGCTACGCTTACATTACATTACTCCCTACGCAAAAAAAGAAAAGGGCCGAGGGGCCTTTTCCTTTTCCAACAATAAATTTATCTAGTTACATATTATATTACTTATAATCTACTATATATATTTTTTATATAAGTCCCAATTTATATTTTATCATTTACTGTTTCTTATAGACTATTGTACCGTGGTCAGCGAATGTATCGTGCTGCCCCCGTATTGAACCTATGTGTATGACAAGTTGAGTTAATCTTGTATTAATCTTATTGAAACTTAACAAGTGAAAGACTTTCCTAACTTATTACAATTGTTCGTGATTACATGTGTCCATTACGACAAGCGTATTCTAACTGTTCTATACGATTGTACTCGCGTTTTGCGTTCACTTTATCGCGTATCCCTGTGGGAATTATCCGCACTTCACTCGCGACGTCTTGGCTGTTTTAATGTCCGTTTGCCAATTCCACGTGTCGAGTTAACTATATTGATGCGTTCCTGCTGCTGTCTGCCTCCATTGGTTTGTCCTTGCTGGGTGGTCGTCTCAGGTTGCTACTGCTTTGCTTTGTCGCATTATACTTCTGCTACATTGGTCTCTTGTATGTGTTTGCTGCATCTCTTTGTTTGGCATCGTCGTAGTACTATGTCTAAGTATAACTTTTCTGTTTCTCTTTGGTAGGATTGTTCGGTATAAAGGAATTTTCTATTAATGTAGGTCATTAGGTCTACGTTTTGGGGTAGGAGTGGCATACAAGGATTTATTTTGTTTACGAGGAAATTTATTAGGATTCGGGGGTGTTCAGTTTGCCATACTTCTGTGTTACATATTATAGCCCTTTTGTGTAGCGTTAGAGCAAATATGTTTTTATTTTGTTCTACTATTATCAATTCTTTTAGTGATTGTTTATTAGTGATCTTTTCAACGTGCCTTCTGTAAAGTTGTGACAATTGACTTTCACAACTGTTGTGTTTGTATTGTTCCCAGGTTATTTAGCCTATTGTAGAGTCGTATCGATCGGTAGCAGTATATATTTCAGCATTCTTCTGCTCCTGTCTTCTCGATGTAGCTGCCTAGTCCTCCATCGACTATGGACGTGTGCCTGTACATCAAACAGTGAAACATGAGTCTCTCCATCGTGATGAGTCTCTCCAGTGTCACAAATCGCACTGTTATTACTTCCCGAACGGTCGCACTCCCGTAAGCAGACTTTAGTTCGCATTAGTACTTTTTACGCGTAAGTCCAAACGCACCTTAACCTATAAATACATGTATGGCTGCTTATTGCAGACAATTATAGCGATAGCTTTACATAAATCTGACATATAAAATAACCTACATTGTATTGCATATTAGTATGCCTATTCATCCTAAATTGAAAAATAAATTGATATCTAAACCAATATTAATATGTTAATAATTGGGACTTGTACTTTTTAAATATTTACAATATAATATATCATCTTTCTGTTATATATACACCCTGTATATTAGAGTCATATATTTTTAATTCTCAACTTGTCATCACTTATTGTTTATAGTTACGTATGTGTAACGAATTTTCCTTATTTGAAGAATATTTTAATTACTATATTTATTCTTAATAAAGAGTCAGAAAGTATTGTAATAATTTCTCACTCTTTTCCAAATTTTTTTAAAATAATTCAAAGGTGGAATTTATTTTGATTTCTCGTCAAACACAATGACCTGTTTTCAGTGTTATGATATTTATGTTTCAAGGCTATTAAATTACATTTTGCTGAGTGGCTAATTTTTTATATACTCACATTGTTGATGAAATTTGATACTGACTGATATAATGAACTCTTGGTGTCTGTTACAAACTACAATATTTATTTTTATTTAATTAAAAAACGTTTTCTACACTTGACCTGTATTAGTTGTTTATTTACCAGTGCTCTGACTCAATCTTTATACTACTTTCTTAGTTGATAGGAATTAAAGTCTGTCAATCAGTTTTGACATAGCAATAAAGGATTGGCGTATGGTATCTTACCGATCCAGCTCTTACTAATCAACAGCAGCTTAGACCCCTATAAA